TCTCTCTCTCTCTCTCTCTCTTACAAAATTCCTCTTTCTCTTTAACTTTTTCTTTCTCCATCTTACTTCCCCAGGCCTGCCCCACCACGTTACCTCTTTTTTTTTAGCATAGTATAGATCTATATTCCCTCCCATACCGTTGCCCACTGCCCGCCCCTACTATTACATTATCATCCTTTGTAAAGAAAAGACCACAGTTCGCACTGGGTCACCACGGTCGGCGTCCATTTGTTGTAAATTCCTTGGCCAGATCATAGAAACCGAAGAAGGCAAAGGTAGAATTGCATGTTTGCTTCATACCGAGTACACTTAGTGATTGCGACTCGAGTCCGAATAGCTGCGGCATTATATTACTTAGTAGAAAAATACTATAGCTAGTTACTGTTCAGTAACATAATATGTTGAATGAATGAGATGTCCAAAGTATAGTTAAATGCAAGGTTAAGAGCCGGAGATAAAGGATGTCATCATGTGCGAATATTTTTGTTATGGAATGCTGGTATATTTTATCACTTCTTGTGTCCACGCTCCGTCAAAAGACGAATTTAAGATCGCTGCGTCAAAAGACGAAAAGATTAAGTATGGTTTTGTGATCATTTATGCATATATAGGTTGGAGATGGTCTCTCATCTTAACACAAACTTAAAGTCTCATGATTAGGAGTATATATTATATTTGATACCACACGTATATGTTCTGTAGGCTACATCACTTGTTGGGGTTTATGTACCCCTGGTCATAGTGTGTGTGGAATCCATAATCAGGGGTAATTTACACTCAAGATGTCCCTTGTGAAAGCTGTGTTTTGAATAAAGAGCATTGTAATTGTAAGTTGAGGAGATCATGCCTGCCAAGGCCAGATGCCAGTGTAAAGTTCAAAACAGTAAACATCCCTCCAAAAGCAGAATAATATAAAATAATCTCAATTTCAGTGCATGAAAAATGGGGGAACCGTGCTGCTGGTCATCATAAAATACCCTGCATGTTGTGTTGAGTTAAATTTAGGTGTATTACATACCCATTTACACAATTCAATAATTTAGGAGGGATACTCATCCCCACCCAACAGAAAAAGCGAGATACGCGATAAAATTTGTCCCCATTCTCGAAGTAATGTTTCCAGAGTGCAATAGCGAAGTCTCTAGTTTAAGTTTTAGTAGAGGTTTTACAGCGCTCGCAACTGCATATAAGGTCATATGGGCGCCAGAAGATTAGAGGTGTTACAAGAGAGTAACAAACATAAAACAGAAGAAGGGGGAGAGAACTACAATAGATGTTTGATAGGAAAGAAGAAGCAAACAACACCAGAGCACCCGCCAACCACCCAATGCGAAGTGTCTACTCACTACACCACAAATATAAATGTCAGTGTTGAAAAGAGTTACAACGTATTAAGTCAAGTGCCTTTGAGATTTTGCACAGCAGGAAAGCGGAAGTCGGATACGATTTGGGCAAAGAGCAAAGCTTTTCCCCTTCGACATCAACACTATCCACTGAATTTAGGATAAATCAGAGATGAATTATGGTTTACCTGCTCTTATATACCCATTTTAGTCCTCTTCAGACCCTTTAATGTCCTCTTTAACATTATTGTGTGCATGCTTTAGTGTATGAGCATATTCTTCACTTGCTCATTCACTCACTTGAGAGAGAGACAGAGACAGACAGACAGACAGACACAGAGAGAGGGAGAGAGAGAGAGAGAGAGAGAGAGAGAGAGAGAGAGAGAGATTGACAGACATTGGAGAAACAGAATAGAAAAAGAGATATAGAGAGAAACTTAAGTGAAAAATCATGGTTGCTCCAAAACTCCCTCCATATAAATTTATTATAACCGATTCTGTCTGGGACTTTCACTAACAAGTGACTCACAGCCACACATCCACTCTCCACTACCGACCATAAGTTAAACCAGTGCATACATCAAGTAGGCTACTACTAAATATACTACAATATACTAAAAGTAACCATCTCAGCACCATAGCCTGCTGGTCACCTCACGGCATACCTCTAAATAGGAATTCGCTGTAGCAGGTGACATTCAACTAAAGGAGCAGGTAGCCTACCATTATGACGAGCCAAGTTTGAAATTGGTTCCTTAGGGACTTAACTTTTCTGACCAAGTTGCTAAAGTCTCGCTTTGGGACACTTAATGTATAGATCTCATTGTATAGCGTCCGTAACATGTGTGTCACTCGA